ATGCAGAGACTATGGACAACCAGATTGATACATTTAATTCGCTATTGACACAATTATATGATATTCATGCGCCTATTAGACCTGTACGTACTAAACATCTTCCTGCACCCTGGCTTACTGTAGACATTAAAAAGCTTCAAGAAAAGAAAAACATTGCTAAAGCTAAATTAAAAACTAATGCAAGTGATATCAATCGGCAAAAATATGTTAAAGCTAGAAATCATTGCAATAGGGTGTGTAGGGATAGTCAACGACGCCATATTCATAAATCTGTTGTCGAAGAAGACAATACAGTAAAAGTCTGGAACTTTCTTAAATCTCTTGGAGTTGGAAAGGCAAAACAAAATATAACCTCCAAAAATATAGATCTAAATCAATTAAACAAACATTTCTCATCGTTCAGTACAATTGATAGTACAACTAAATTAAGAACTAAAAATCAAATTCTCGCTTTGGCCACTCCTGATTCTCCCATTTTTAAATTTAGTCAATTTACACAATGTGATGTTCGGAAACACATAGTGGCAATTAACTCTGATGCGGTTGGCTCTGACTGCATTAGTCGTAAAATGATCGTTCCTTTATTAGATATATTGATCCCTGTCATAACTTCCATGCTTAATTTTTCTATTAATACTGGCTGTTTTCCATCCGCATGGAAAGATGCTCAAGTAATACCTTTACCAAAAAAAACAATCCCACTACTTTCTCCGACTATCGTCCTATTTCCATTCTACCCTTTTTATCCAAAGTGCTCGAGCGCCTTGTACATCATCAACTAAGTAATTTCCTTTCAAATCATAATCTACTGAATCCTATGCAATCCGGCTTTCGTTATGGTCACAGCACGACTACTGCACTCGTTAAAATAACAGATGACATCAGACTAGGAATGGAAAATCAACAAGTCACAGTTTTGACACTATTAGATTTTAGTAACGCTTTTAACACTGTTGATTTTGATATTCTTCTTGCTACATTGTGTTCTCTTAACATATCTCCAGATGTGATTGACTGGTTTCACAATTACTTGTATGGTCGCCGGCAACGAATCCGTATTCACGATTCTTGCTCTGAATGGATTTCGCTACATGCCGGTGTTCCTCAAGGTGGCGTGTTGTCTCCTCTTTTATTTTCTATATTTATTAACTCTCTCTGTAACTATATTTCTTCTCCCTACCACCTCTATGCAGATGATCTACAAATCTACCGCCAAACGACCGTATTAAACTTAACTCAAACCATCGATCATATTAATACTGACCTACTTAATATTTCGCAAAAAAAGTAAATCATTAGGCTTAATAGTGAATCCAGGTAAAACACAAGCTATAATTATAGGTAGTTCAAAATTAAAATCAAAAATATCTTTATCACAATTACCACCTATTATGCTTGACGGTATACAAATTCCTTACAGCGATAAAGTGAGAAATCTAGGTATTATATTGGACGAGACATTATCTTGGAAGTCACAGGTGGGCGAAGTGAGCAGAAAAATGTTTTGCTGCCGTTGCATCATTACGTCGCTTACGCAACTTTCTACCCATTCCCACTAAAATTGCCTTGGCTAACACTCTTTTATTACCAATTCTTGACTATGCTGATACTTGTTACCTCGATTTAAGAGAGGAACAGTTAAATAAACTTGAGCGAATTCAAAATCTCTGCATTCGGTTCATATTTGGACTTCGTAAATATGACCACGTTTCCGAATTTCGTAAAAAGCTCAAGTGGCTCCCTATCCGTCCTTCGCAGAAATACTCACGTTCTTTGTCTTTTATATAATATTCTATTTAATCCCTGTACACCTCAGTATCTTAAAGATAGGTTTAAATTATTAAGTGATTCTCACCATTTTTCTCTTCGTTTCTAACCTTAATCTAACTTTACAAGTTCCTTCACACTCTTCTTCCTTCTATACTCGCTCCTTTACTGTCCAATCTGTCCGTCTGTGGAACTCGTTACCAAATAAAGTAAAACAGGCTGATTCGCTGTCACTATTTAAAAAATTAATAAATGAATATTATCTTAACTTATAAGTGCTAAATGGTGTCATATTTTATTTTATATGTATAATGTATATATGTGTGTATGTATGTATGTATGTATGTATGTATGTATGTATGTGTGTATGTATGTATGTATGTATGTATATATATGGTATATATGTATATATCTGTTTGTATATGTATGTATTTATTGTATCTCTCTTTAAGATTGTTTGCACCCCTTCCTTCTCTCTTCTTTCTCTCTACCCAAAGGTTGCCTAGAATAGATCGCTCTCTAGCGATAAGGCCGCCTATTGTACTATATTCCTTTAATCTGTTTCAACTATATAATGTAAAATAATGGTGTGCAATAAAGAATATTTCATTTCATTTCATTTCATTTCAACCCGCGGCTCCGCTCGAGCTAAAACTACAAAAGAACGTTTTCCGTTTTAAAAAGTTTTCATACAAACTTTCATCCCCTATTTTATCCCTCTTATAGGATGAATTTAGAAAAATTCTAAAACCCGATTTTTTTTATTGTATTGAAGAGCATTAATAAGGAGGTTCAAGTAATTCTGATGATAAATAATGTTTTGGGTTGTATTATAACGTATTTTGCCGTAGGAATGAGATAATCTCCCGCGGTAAAAAGTAGCCTATGTCACTCTCCAGTCCTCTGACTATCTCCACACAAAAAATTATGCCAATCCGTGACTCTGTTTTGACGTGAAAGAAGGACAGACAAACAAACACACTTTGACATTTATAATATTAGTATGGATTATAATGTGCGCTACTTTTGACAATTTTTATTAGGTACTTACTAGACTCGGTAGGCGGTGTACCATACGAATTGTTGCTCCAGGTACTTCGTCGATAGCAGAGTGAACCGTGGAGGCCATTTGTTAGGTCATCCGTCAGGGCGTCATGGTTGCCGTTAAAAATTTTCCGTTAGGTTTAGTGGATGCTTCACGGTTACGCCCACGTATGTATAAACGTATTTCCCAAACAATTTCAGTGACTTTAATCGTGGTAAAAACGCATAAAATGTAAGCAGCGCCTCTTATGATACTAATGTACATAACCTAACGGTTGATCTATAAAAAATTAATCTAGTAAATTACATTAATTTGATTTAGGAGCGCGTTATTTCGTTAATCGTATTTTCAAAATCATAAAATACCTTTCTAGGATTTATTTTTTTATCTTCTGTTAATTTTCCATAAACTTCAATAACAATAGTCAATACATATTTTATTAATATTTATTTGAACTCGTTTTTATTTATTCCTCATAGTTATATATTTTTAACAAATAGCAACGCCCTGTATACCCCGCAACATTCGTTGCCTGTCTCGATATACGAAAATCCATGCAAAATGCCATACTGAAGCCATTACTTGGCTCACGAAGACAAGGTAAGTACCTACTAATTGTTATTTCTTTTTTGTGTTTTATTTTTAATTAGAAAATTTTATAAACTGAAATTTAAGAATTAAACATAAAAATTTGAATATTTATAACTAAACAACATTAAATATAAAAATATATATTGTTAATCAATCTTAGGAAAATATTTAAATATTATAAAAATAAAATATTTTTTATAATGCTTGCTGCCACTACATATCGTTGGCTCACTACTATAAGGTTCTATGTTACAATTTTTTATTTTAGTACTTATTTAGTTACGAATGCTACAAGGTTCTATGTGTCATTAGCTACAGTTTTGCAAAAACAAACCACTAGATAGCGGCACTTTAACTACAAAATATTCAATTTTACATAGTTCTATGTTGTTTTTCTTACGATAACAAAATAACGAAGTTCTATGTAAAAATTACTAAACTTTATTAATATTAACATAGAACCTTGTAATAGTGTGCCAACGAATTATGCCTCCGTGTATGTATGTCTCTTACTGCTTAATACTATGTTCCTTTGTCAACTTGTTACTAACTTTTTAATTACTTTTTTACGCAGTCGTGTTTTTTTTTAATTTACAACATTTTTTTTAATTTAAAGCCTTTTAGTTTTGGCCAGTTACACGTTTAATATTATATTAAACAATTTCTTATTTAAAATTATTTTTAAACAGGTGTTTTGTGTATATTTTTTGAAGACAGAAGTTAGCGCCTGTGGCGGTCCGATTTTGATTTTTAATAATATTCATATAACCTATAACACTCGTTTTATCAAGACTAATTTAACAACGTATGAATTATCAAAACAAAAAACATAGAATCGGAAATACGTACATACAGGTCAAACACATAACCCCTCCTTGAGCTTCGCCGCAGTCGGGTAAAAATAGTCGCTCATTCGATTTTCAAAAAAGTTTGTATAATATGTCTACTCACAAAATATAGCATTAATATTATGTAATCTACTTATATCGAAAAACTTCTCCAACCTTTAAACTTATTTTAAATAGCACTCTTGTGGTGTAGGTAAAAAAATAATTAATGTATACACCATATTACTTTTATAAAGAGAGCAACTGTGTTTGTCTTTTGTTTCCTTTCCACGCTTAATCCTCGTGGGCATCATTGGGATCATCATTGTGAACATCATTGGGACAGACATAGTTAAGAAAACCTATTTTTTTTAAATAAAACTTAACGTGTTTGAACTTGGAAGGCAATAGATTACGGTGAATATGTCTATACTAATTTATACTAATATTATAAAGAGGTAAAGTTTGTTATGTTGTAGGGGGTAATCTCTGGATCTACTGAACCGATTTAGATGAAATTTGGTAAGAAGATAGTTTAAGACCCTGGGAAAGATATAGGATAATTATTATCCCATCCCTTAAGAGGGTGAAAATGGGGTTGAAACTTTGTATTGGGAAGCAAGCTAGGGACGAACCCGAGCGAAGCGAGGGTGAGTCGCTAGTATTTTAATCAAAAGAAAATAATTTAAAAATATAAAATTAATTTTCGTACTCGAAACATTACATTTTGACAGTCCACTTAATTTTTTTTTATTACACAGACCTACAAGATGTCTTTGAAGATATTAAGCTCAGCGTCACAGAAGCCGCGGAACATGCACAGCGTTAGATTTTCCAGCGATGATATGCCTAAATTTAAATCTCTGGTAAGTAAAAATATAAAATCTTTCAAAAAATATTTTAAATACATACCTAAATAAAAAAATAATAAAGTTGAAAATAATCATGGAAAAGTTTACTATTGCATTTTGTTATATTCTGATTTTTTTTTAATTTTAACATTAGACGTCTGCTATAAATCGTTAAATTTGGAGAGACGATTTTTGTGTTACAACTTATACGATACCTACTTTCGTCAAATATAATTCGATTTTTATTATTCTTCTTAGTAAGTACATACTCTAAAATAAAAAAAATGTTAAAGTAATAAAGCATTACAGACATAAGCTGTAACTATTAAAAATTGTATGAAATTGACATATCCAAACGTTGTCACGTGATCAGAATATGACGACAATCCATATTATTTCTTCCTTTTCTATTAGCGATAAGAATTGTAGAAAATGAACTTATTGTTTTTTTTTCTCTAATTTAACAAATCCAACATATCTTGTTATTCTTCTTTCTTTGTCTCAGGACTCTCCAGAAGGTAACGGTCATTTCGCGCCACATTCAATGCTTAGTGTAGACTCAGGGGCTCCTAGTCCAGACTGTGCTTTTCACCCAGCGGCACAGCGATATCGGTTAAATGAACAACGTAAGACATTATGTTAATATTATTAAGTACTTTTAGAATATACAGACTACTTGCGCAAATATTACCACAGATATAACTGCATATAGGTACTATACTAGTATAGTATTATATGATCTGTGCTAGTACATACCATAGAAGGAAATTGGATGAGTATATGTGTATGAGATAACTAAGCATTCGTCGCATGCGCATGCGCATTAATTATACAAAGAGAAAAAAGAAAAATCAATACATACAGATAAATAAAATAGAAGTGTCTGTTTGTAATGTCAAAATAACAGCAGTACTAATAAAACAATAATCAAGTTTTAAATTTTCGTCTGTCTGTTTGTTCCGGCTAATCTTGGAAACGGCTAAATCGATTTTGACGGCATTTTCACTGGCAGATAGCTGATGTTATAAGAAGTAACTTAGGCTATTTTTATTTTAGAAAAAGAATCAGGGTTCCGCGCAAAGAAATAAAACCCCATGAAATTGTGAACAGAATCGTACTTTGGGACGCTCCCGAGCGAAATGAGGGTAGATCGATAGTATATAATAATATGCCTAAGAGGTATCTTATAGATATTTATTAAGACCACTGGAATATGCAACATCTTCCGTACTCAGGTTAAAATAGAAGGCATCTTATGAAATCATATGGACATCAACGCTACTATACCAGCACCCTTTGAACCCCGATTTTTGTATACTATTTCACAAAAATGTACATAGGTGTCGATTTTTCTTAAATTTTTTAACGAAACCTTAAACAATTATGAAAATCGATTCACAATTGGACATATTTCGTAACATAGATTAATGGCATCAATATGAATCATTTCTTTTTTCTTCTTTTACTTTCTCTTTTTTTAAAGTCATTAAAAATTCTTTACATTACGATGTTTAAATGTATGGACACTACTTTAAGGTATCAAGCTGTTGACCGCCATCAACCAAATAGTTCAGCAACGAGCTGAACTGGAAGCTAACAAGTCAACACTCTCCAGTATGCTGGAAGAGCTGAGGCGAAAACTCAAGCGACGAATTGAAGAATGTCATTTCGATAAAAAGGAGAAAATGAAGGTATAAAATAGATTTGAAAATATATTATTATTATATTATTATAAGCCTGTAGTATCCCACTGCAGGGCAAAGGCCTCCATACTTTTCCTCCACTGCTGCCTATCTTTCACCATAATAAGCCACTCTCTTTGGAAGGAGTCTAACTCAACCCGCCATCTCCGTCTTTTCCTACCTACTGTGTTGTGTGTTGAAAATATATAATTTAACAAAATATATTCAAACTAAAAATAAACTCATACCATGAGCTTTCGCTTACAGAAGGTAAATAGGTCTTTCATGAAGCAAGTGCAGCTGGCCCCTGAGTTCGCATTCCTTTTGTTAAGAAACTCTCACACTCTAAATATTGTTCGGGGTTGAGAAATTAATAACACTTTTCACACACCGGAGATTAAGTGAAAGAAATAGTGTGTTGTGGCTAGTGTCAGTAAGATTGAGAGCCGCCGTGGCCGAAATCGGTTAGAAGCAAACTATACAAAGATCATATTTTTCCAAACAGGCTTTAAAACAAGCAAATCAGCGCTTAGAGAGGGAGAAGTTTAACGTAGTAACAGAAATCGAGCATTTAAAACGGCATTTGGACAAGGAGGAGGCACACCACCTGCAGCATGCGAGGGCTGCTGTAGTACAGGTTATATTTAGAATAAAATAAATAATATAAAAAAGCTAATGGTTAGTCTAAAAGGTCTAATGCATTTAAAAATTCAAATAAACTCTTTAGGCCATTCAAGGCGTGACGAAAGCAACAGCCGACCACATCTTCACGCCGTGCTCTGTGGCTGAGCTACCGAATATTGTTAGCAGAAACGTTGCTAGAAACGCGCCATCTAGAGTTGTAAGTATAAAATATACACAATTAAAACATACGTTTTGATATATAAAACTAGCGACTCACCCCCGCTCCACTCGGGTTCGTCTCTAGTTACGTTTTAACGTTTAGTATAGATTTCTCAGAGATGAGATATTTTCCTGCAGTAACAAGTGTTCTATACATTGACCCGGATAACCAGCTATCATAATATCAAATTTCATCAAAATCTATCATGTGGTTTTGTCGTCATGCGGTTACAAACAGACAGACAAAAATTCTTAAAACTATAGATTCAGATTCTGTCTCGATAGTAATAACTATTTCAATAAGATTTTCCGAAAAATATTTAACGTACAGATTCGACTCATAATCTTATTATAATGTATCGATTTCGGTGTGTTTGTGCGTGCGTACGTTTTTTTAATGTATGTATGTATAGACTTCGGTGTGTCTGTTCGTGATTGATGATATATTTTTATATTAATTAACTAACTAGGTATACCTAAAGGGTCATCTAGGTGCATTCCAATAAAAATGACATCCCAAAGACATGCATTTTTCACAGTTCCGTACCTCCAAAGGAATCCTTATAAGATCATTTCGTTGTCCGTCTGGTCTGTTTGTCTGTCTGTCAAATCAAACTAAGTCTACGTAATCAAAAGATACGGCCGTTTATATCACATATTTTGACTCAAAACCTATACTATATAGGGTACTTCCCGTTGACCTAGAATCATAAAATTTAGCAATTTCTTATAGCACAAGTAAAGTAAAAAATCCAATTTTTTTTTTCGATTATGAATATATTTTAATGTTTAATGCTACGAAACCCTCGGTGTGTGAGTCAGACTCGCATTTGTCCATTTACTTTGCATTTTATTTTTAAAAAAGTGCGTGTGTATACAATTCACACACGGTAGAAGTGAAACTTCAAAAAGGTTACCTACGAGGGAATGAGATGAATATAGAATATCAAGAGTAGAATAATTATAAGGTTTATTTATTTTAAAATATTTTTAACAATTTTAAAAGTGATTTTAGCAACCGCAGTAACAAAGGTTACCATGGCAAAACGGCAATGTATTCTATCTCATTCTCTCGCCGGCTTAATCCTATATATTTATGTGTTTGTCTCTTTTTAGTGTCGCATTTTCGTTTCATCGAGTTTCAAATCACAAACATTCTAAAGAAGTGTCACTTCAAAAAAAATTTCTTTGTATAGGCAGATAATAAGCTGGCGGCCGCGCGTCTCATGCGCGACATCGCCGCGCTGAGGCAACGCGTCGCGCAAGTGGAGGCGCGACTGGCCAACGAGCTAAAGGTAAATATGATATACTTTGTACGCGCATATTTTACATCTTTACTAATATCTATAATCTATACAGATAAATAAAATTAAAGCGTCTGCTTGTTATGTCAAAATAACAGCTTTTTACTGAATGCATATTCCCTCCACGAGCGCGGACACGGTGGCGCTACAGTTAACAATAGATTTTTTAGAAATTCAATTAATTTCTTAGAAATTTACCTGGAGGTGATAATTGAAATTATATACCGAATCTATAAGAAACACAATTTTAAAATTTATGTCTATCTGTTTGTTCCGGCTATTCTCTAAAACGGCAGCATTGATTTTGACGGGACTTTGACTGGCAGATAGCTTATGTTATAAGGAGTAACTTAGAGTAAGTACTTTTATTTTACAAATAAGGGTCGCGCTCAAAAAATTAAAACCACGCACCCGAGCGAAGAGAAACTAAGTCGCTAATCGCTCTAATCTCCTATAGCCTATTTATTGAAAGAGGTTATATATCACACTACGATTTACGAAAGCCGAGTAATTATACAAAAAAAAAACAGCTAATTTTAATTATTTTTCCGGAAATTTACAGTTTCATTTTGATTTTTGATTACCGAATTAGAATGCTTATCAGTAAATATTGTAACGGAAGAGACAAATGTTTTTATAGTATTTTTGATTTCATTATCTTCTTACCCAATTTTATCTAAATCGGTTCAGTGTGTCATTATCAGATTCAGAGATTAACCCCTACAAGTACAACGTCACAAACTCACAAACTTTACCTCTTTATAATATTAGTATACATTCTTATAGTAAAATTCTGTATTAAGATCTCTTACTTCTAAACTACGCGAGTAATACCATGGCAAATACTTACTAATAAATTATGAATGTATATAATAAAAAGATACATACAGACGAACATACAACCTACACATTTTTGGAAGTCGGTTAAAATAATAATTCAACAGTGTATTTCCAGCGTAAACGGCAGGCTGAGATCGACATTGTGCGATTGAGAAAAGAACTGTCGTCCACGAAGAGCTGCGTCGCATCACTACGGATGCCTGCGCAAAGGAAACCTTGCTCTAAATTCGCGTAGAAAATTAAAAAAAGATATAATAATATATTTAAATATGTATTTTTAGAATATTTAACATAGTATTTATAATATAAATTATAATAAAATAAAATGTCTTACCTTTTTTTTTACTTTTCTTATATAGAGGATTATTCATTTTTTCATTCTCTATAAAAAGACTTTTTGTAAATTACGCAATATTCTCGCTAATTTTGAATCGATTTTTATGTGAATTTCAAAAAAAAAACTTTGATGTAATTTTGAAGTCGATGTAGCCCATTGATCTATCTATGTATAGACTATAGACCTACATATTATAATGCAATTCTGAGTCGAATTTGTACATTAATAAATTAATGATTAATTTATATTACCTTATATTATAATTTTATTATCATTATTGCTTTTGAATGAAGCCTATATTAATATTTTTTAATGTAATTCGTTTTTGCGTAAGAAAATAAATATTAAAAGTGCAAATATAGGTGGGAAATTCAAAGTAGTTGAAACGCACGCCATTTGTCAGACCAAATATGACGTCAAAGTATTATCATAACAGAGCGATTAGCAATTTTGTCGCTACAAAATAAAGTCGTCATTTTTCTATGTATGATACTTTGACGTCAAGACAAGCGCGCGATATGGCGGGCGTTTATAGTATCCGTATCGGTTTTATATTTTAAAAAAATATACTACATTTTATTTTTTGGAGCTGGCTATTTTTTTACAATGATGATGTTAGCTATTGTATAAAAAATTAGCGTATTCCCTATTGCAACTGAGATTTTGCAAAATAAGCGTGTAATTGCAAATACTATGTAATCTTTCTTGAATTTTAATATAACAATCTTTTAAAAATAAAATAACTAGGTACACGCAATATCTTACAATATGCCTTTACCTTTTACAAGACGCGTTGAACAAGTGTGGAGACTGAAGCCGTAATTTGTAATGTTGTTTATGTTTTATAAATCTGACTTTCTTATCTGCTTTCTTATCTACGGAAGCCTAATATTGAATCTTACCTAATATTATAAATGTGAAAATTTTGATGGAAGTGTGGATGTTTGTTACTCAATCACACCAGAACAGCTGAACGGAACTGGATGAAATTTGGCACAGAGATTATAGTCTGGAATAGCACATAGGCACATACTTACTATCCCAGAAAAAATTACGGTTCCCGTAGGATAGATTTGTTTCTATATTTCTAGATGTAAACCCGAGCGAAGCTAGGGTCAGTAATGAAGAATATATTTTTTAAAAGAGAACTTTATTTAAATAAATATACAATATAAAAAAAGACCTAAAAATCTTATCACGACAAATTGGTCTTACAAAATATTTGGCGCTAAAAATTATAATTTACAGATAAAAAATCTTTGTGCCATAGACTATATCAATTATCAGGCATGTTCTTGTTGGAACAGTCCAATATAGCACATTATTTATATTAGAAAAAAACACTGGCGAATTCGTTTGAAACAGTCAGCGTTGTTATTTCATTTTCCATGAGTTAAATAATGTGTTTGAAATGCTCTTCTACCTTTAAAAACTCGCATGCAAACATCACATTGATATATTGGTTGTCCAGTATGCATCCTCATGTGCCGTTCCAACAAATCTTTGGTGTTCATATCTTTACCGCAGACTGCGCATAGATAATCAATGTTTTTTAAATTTGTATGCACGCTTTCTACATGGTGATTTAAATGTTGAGCGATCAAATATTTTTTATTGCATTGACTGCATTGATATTTCGGTCTCAAAAAACTTTCTTGTTTTGTGATTTGAGATGGTTTCTTGGGTAAACTACAAACCCTGTAGGCAAAGAACGTATTAAAAATTTAAAATATGACAAAACTTGCGTACGTACAATAAACAACTTTAGATTGAAGAAATATATATCTACCTGCTCTTCTCCCTCAAATCTGTTTTCGCGTTTAAATTAGAACGATCCCTGGTATTTAAAGGTGTCATTCTACTCGTAGCATACTTTCTGAAACTACCAGTCCGTGGTTCGCTATTTTTCTTACATCGAGAACACACAAACTTCTTCCACCCCTCAAATGGCACAATCATAGGATATTTATGATTGCACATAGTGCAGGCTATATTTATTCGTCTGACTTGCACGTTCGATGAGTTAATGGCTGTTTTTCGCTCATTTAATTTTCGTTTTTTATTACAGCCAACAACAGTAGTGCGGGTAGATTTCTTTAATAGTTCGTGTGTTGATTTACGTTTCTTTTTATTCTTTGTAAAACTTTCACCGACACCCAATTGTGACCGATACGTTGAATCTAAATAATAATAAAACATCAAACTGTAAATAAACTTAAGTAATATTCTGTTTCATTTTCAACCGACTTCAAAAAGGAGGAGGTTCTCAATTCGACTGTATTTTTTTTTTATGTTTGTTACCTCAGAACTCCGTCATTTATTAACCGATTTGGACAATTTTTATGTTGTTTGAAAGAGTATACTTCCAGATTGGTCCCATTTAAATTTCAAAAAAAATACCACCCCTAAGGGTGGAAAAATAGCTAATGATAAATTTAACCTACTTCTAATTGTCATACTGACTTGAAACTTTGCAAGTGTTTCTATTTCCGTTGATAGTACAGTGGTTCGGTATTGTTGACCTGATCTGATGGTAAGGCCAGAAGGTGGATACGTGGAACTCTTTAACGGCTAATAGTAGATACTTTGAGTTTGGGCTTATTTTGTTTCATTTGACAAGCCTAACACGTTAGAATTCTTACTTGGCTACTACTGTCTACACTAAAAAGGGAAAAATAAAAACTTTTTAACAAACAAAAAAAAACCGACTTTAAACAAAAGCACTAAAAAGTAAAAAATAACTGATTGGTAGTTTTTATTTACTATACATACCTAATCAAATATTTCCGAAGTCGGTGTGCTTTGGTTTAGTAATTAATACCTACCTATTAAATATATACCTAATCAAATATTGTCGAAATCGGTGCCAGCCCATACAAAGCAAAGCACACCGACTTCGAAAATATTTGATTAGGTATGTATAGTAAATGAAAACTACCAATCAGTTTTTTTTACTTTTTAGTGCTTTTGTTTGAAGTCGGTTTTTATTTTTTTGTTAAAAAGTTTTTATTTAGTATAAATATACGGAGCTTCCAACCTACTCACATTCACTGGGTGGCCTCGTAAAGGCTGCTTGAACAAGGGCACGAAAACGTTGTGCGTTTCTTAGTTGACGCACGCATCGCTCACATATCATACTATCTGCTGGAAAAACCTATGAAAAGATAGAAATTGAGAGTAAAAAGAACCTATAGGTACCTACGTATGTAAAACATCGTGAGGAAACCTTTTCGAAAGACATGTGAAGTCTAACAACTCACACTTGGCTAGCGTGGTGGACTATGACGTGATTCCCATCATAATAGGGGTCCAGTGCCCAGAAGAGGTATACACGAATACATAGGTACATAATGAACATGAACATTTGTGAAATGCTTGTCGATTATGTTAACAAAGTTCCTTAATATTTTATAATGACGTACCCGAATACCAAAACAGTCGTACAACAGCTTGTCATACCGCTCTTTAACACCCTCCCAAATAAACGTATCTGAGAAACAGCTCAAATTTGCATCATCTCCACATAATCGACAACAGCGAATTGACACACCCGCGTCGCCGGATGCGTGTGCTGTTTTTAGAGGTAAAGAATCCTAAGGATAACGATATGTTATTAGATATATTCCTTAATTTCTGTTTTATATATCGTAGATATCTATATAAAATGAATTCAAGTTAAGATATTACAGAACATTCAATCTGTAATATCTTAACATGAAATATTTATAATCATTCTAATCATCGATATGTAGTCAATTTTTTTTATTTATTTATAGGTTGATCTTTTACGTCACATAAATGATAGATTGAGTAATTCTTTTTAATATGCATACAGTTATATTTTAATTAACAATGCAAAAATATAAGTCGGTATCATTCATCAATACAAAATGATTACTTACCTTACTAAAAATTTTATGCAATTTTTCTTTAGACCACAGTATATCCATTTCATCCATAATTTTTAATGATATTAAGTTCAAGTAGTTCGAGGAACCAACTTTAATAATTTTGGATCTAATTTATTATTGACACTAAGATAAAGTAATTGACATTTTATTAAACTTTATTTATTTTAGCTAATTGATAGCCAGATTTACTTTTGTCTTATTTTTATCTATAATGTATGTATGTATACTGAATTTAATATGAAAATTAAAAATAAATATGTAATGGTTTATTTAATAATATTTACTTATCGGAAATAAACTTTAAATATAATAATAAAATCAAGGCAGTTTCATTTTTTATCTTTGCCCATGATAAAATTAAAAAGTAATTGTCTGTGGTATGCTGACGAAATCCATGCTTAGTATTGATGTCTCCTTTATCTGTGGCATTGACCATAGATGATTGAAGAATAATAAACGTCATTGACTAAATTATTTGACTTTGAGTTTGACATATTTTTAGAGTTTATCGTGTTGTGTTTACGAAGTAAAAAGAGAAGAGGAAGATTTATAGATAAATAAATTTAGTTTATAATACAAAAATAGCAAAACATCTTAAACAACTTTACAAGTCTCCAATTATTTAACAATTTATTCAACCTAGGAAAGTGTTGTCCACAAAACTTTAACTAGATTTTATGCTAGTAATTGCACAAGATATATCCAATAAAACAAGACCTCAAACATGGGGAAAGCAGAAAAAGGAACACCAAAATACATAGCAAACAAAATAAAGGCGAAAGGATTACAAAAACTTCGTTGGTACTGCCAAATGTGTCAAAAGCAGTGTCGTGATGAAAATGGGTTTAAATGCCATACAATGTCAGAATCTCATCAAAGGCAGCTGTTATTGTTTGCTGATAACGCTTCTAAGTACATAGATGAGTTTTCTAAAGAATTTGCTGATGGATACCTTGAATTATTGAAGAGACAGTTTGGTACAAAAAGGGTGAACGCTAATAAAGTATACCAGGATTATATATCTAATCGGTAATTATGTCCTATATCTTTACTTAATATTGAATGTACTAGTTGTTTTGTCATTCTTTCTTTTTTTGATTTCATTGATTTGGTACTTTTTATCTCATGATATGAAATATATTTCCATGGAATATGCAGTTAAACATGTATTTATTTTAGTGACAGTTATAAGTTTATATAAATACTGTGTTATGGGCACTAATTATTTCTTTGAATTATATAAATACATTTACAAACATTTTTTTCAGTGATCATCTCCACATGAATGCCACTCAATGGGAAACACTCACAGATTTTGTAAAATGGCTTGGAAGAGAAGGAAAATGTGTAGTTGATGAAACTGAGAAAGGCTGGTTTGTAGCATATATTGACAGGGATCCTGCAACTATTGCTGCACTAGAGGCGAAGGCTAAAAAAGAAAAATTAGATAAAGATGATCAGGTAATTTTTATTTTGTTTTTGATGTACAATAGACTTAGCAGCTTATTGTTATGTGCCTTTATATCTTGTGTTGAGTTCTATAGATTCAGTTGGCACAAACTATTTTAGCTGTTTTAATTCATAACAGATGGTTCCATTGTTTCATAATTATTAATATCAATTTTTTTAAATTTGAGAATGAATTGTAAAGTGTTTTGACAAAAACCCTTTCAATAAGGTTACCAGTTAATGGGCTTAATGAAATCATTTCTTTCATAGGGTTACCCATGTTGTAGGTTGCCAAATAACTAATAGGTCACCCTATCTATAATGTGTTATCGAATAAAAAAAATGTGATACAATATTAGACTATAAAATTATGTGCAAAAATACATATTAGAATGAAGTAAAGAGGACTTCCAAAAGTGGCCAAAAGCAAAAAAAAAAGACTTTTTGGACTTTTCTTTTATTCATACAATAAAACAATAAAAGGGCAAAAATGATTGTTTTTCAAAATGCTATAAATTTGATAATTTCTACCAAAATGAACTTATGAATTAATAGTTACAATGCTTATATATTTTTTATAGGAAAGAATGTTAGAATTTATACAAAAACAAGTAGAAAAAGGTAAAAAAGAGTCAAGTCAAAATGAACCTCAATACACCGAGTTCAAACGAGAGAGCAGTCAAGAGAGACTCACATTAAATCTTAATTTGAAAAGAAAAAACGATGGTAAGATGCTATTATTTTATTTCATTTGTATACTATTATAGAAATGTTATATAAGGTAAATATATTATATATAAAAAAAGTTTGTGTACTTATGTATGCACATAGGAGTTTTATTATGTTTCTTAGAGAATTTAAATACAAGCTTGTTTTTTTTTCGTATTCTTCTTAGCAAACCCTTTCATTTGATATCCATATCATGGGGGTGCAAAAAAACATAGTCCTCCGTTTTTGGGAGTCCGCCACATTGGATTTACAACGTTACTATGCTTATTGTGTTTTGCTCATCAAGACCTTTAATTTGATGCCCATATCATAAGAGTTACTATGGAAACGATAAATCGCCATTTTGTAACGTTTGTAGAACCAAACAGCATAGCGTTTATAATGTTTGTGTGTGCCAAATGTGAACGACACGTTTGGCTCAGTGTGTACTTGCTGTGCCAGCGGTGGCGGGTACGAGTCCCGCCGGGGGCATTCATTGTGTGATGAGCACGAATGTTTGTACTCCAGTCATGGGTGTTTATATTTATAATATGTATGTATTTAAAGTTTATATATGTGTAGTGTATCAACTATCTGGTATCCATAACACAAGCCTCGTAGCTTACCATGGAACTAGATGGTGCTGTGCTAATGTCCCAACATATTAAAAACTTGCAAGATGTGATTACAGACAGACACCGGGACAGGTGAAACTGAATAAAAATTTGTAATAATTTATATTTTTGTTGATATAAAAGACGTGTTGTGTATAATTATACTGGAATAAATATCTTGAATATAGGCATTACTCCACACTATACTAAAGGCAGAATTGACGACTATCTTCATACTGTGGTCTAATAACAATTAACTTCATACTATAGTCTTTATACCTCTAACGCATCAAAGGAGTATAATTTAAAAAATAGTTTTTATTGATCTATGTGTCTTTAGAAGGACTTCATTCTGCCTGTTTCTTGTGTAAGTTTTACTATATATACATTTAAAATTCCGGTGTGTGTTTGTACTTCTTCTTCTAAATGCCTTGACTGATTTTTCTGTTTTTTTTTTGTATATGCCCTGGGTCAATCTAATAATTTTTAACTAAGTTTGATCGAATAGATAATAGATGGCTCTGATGTAGACACCCAGATGTTTATTTTCTGATTGCAACCTAAATAAGATTTATCACAGAACATGTAGTTCAATTACATTAAATGCCAAAACATTTTTTTTTAATAATTTAATATTTTTTCTAGAAAAGAAAACAGATTCAATAAAAACAGCCTTCAAAATCAAATCTAAAGATTCAAAAGAAGAATCGTCTAGTAAAAAGCAGAAACCCGAAGAAAAGTCCAAACAGTCGGCTTTAGATGAAATAATGGCTATGCAGGAGAGGGAGAAAGAGAAGGCTAACAGGTAAATTATTGTTTTCTTCCTCATATATTCTTTGTGCATTCAAAAAAAACGTCTTCAATAATTATAATAATTAATTCATACTTCTATATTTATTTATTTGTTTGTATCAATAGTACATAACTGATAAAAATATTATAAATGAGAAAGTTTGTGAGGATGGATGTTTGTTACTCTTTCACACCAGAACGGCTGAACGGATCTGGATGAAATTTGGCACAGAGATAGTTTATAGGCATAACACATAGGCTACTTTTTATCCCAAAAATTACGGTTCCCGAGGGACAGGTTTGTTTTTGTTAGAGTTTTCGCTAATAATTTATAAAATAAAACTACTAAACCAATGTTAATATTTCTTCAGCCATTGGAATGCAATATCCAAGAATAAAATATAAAAAGGCCATATTATATTCCAGTAATAATTATTTTTCAATATTTTTTAATAAATTTGTGTGCATATGTGTTTGTTTGTTACTTTTTCATGCTGAAATGTCTGAAGGAATTTGGACTTTGATACTGTTAGGCATTCGAGTGAAGTGAGAATAAGTATAGCTTGTATTAAATAACTTTATAAATAAATTAATATGTTGGTACTTGGTACATTAACACACAGCACCATCTAGTTCCATGGTAAGCTACGAGGCTTGTGTTATGGATACCAGATAGTTGATATACTACACATATATAACTTTAAATACATACATATTATAAATATAAACACCCACGACTGGAGTACAAACATTCGTCACATCACACAAATGAATGCCTCCAGCGGGACTCGAACCCGCGACCGCTGGCACAGCAAGTAGGGTCACTACAAACTGAGCCAATCGCTAATACTTGCCGTTTAAATTACAGAAAGGACTATTGGCTAACGGAAGGCATTATAGTGAAGATTGTGACGAAATCGTTGGGCGATAAGTACTTCAAACGCAAAGCGGTGGTGGAGCGAGTGCTGGACAAGTACGCGGCGCGCGTCCGCCTGCTGGACGACGGCGCGCTGCTCAAACTGGACCAGGTCTGTTTCTTTTGTTAGCTACACTCAAAACTGACTGACTATAAAATTAAATTGAAATTAAAATTTATTTTAATTCACCCATAAGCAGCTTATAAGTTTTATTCAGCATTAAATATACTATAATTGGAGTGGCAGGCGTGTAAATAGCCGTGCCCTCTTTGCGGTGTGGGAATAAAAATTACGGTCCAGCGCGTGGAGACGCGTGGACCCAACACTGCTCTTAGAATATCTTTATAAACGTATCTGGCGGCTGATGTAATAGCTTACAACTATGCGGGATAAAAGCAAGTCGCTTACCTGGTGCAGCTCGCTGATCTTCTTGGTGGCCACCTTGACAGCTCGCGTGCACTTCACCGTGGGAGTCGGGAGTAGACGAGTACCGGAACAGTTATAGTTATAGTGCCGTGTCAAAGCGAGCCTTATATACGATGAGCCGCGTGTCGGTAAACGCGCCAATCAGAATTCGGGCGAGTGGCGCCGCCTGCAGGATTGCGACTGCAACCCGCAAGTCGAATGCTATAGATCATCCTTACCAAAACGTTAAAAAAGACAATTCAAGGCTAGTGCTTGCCACACCAATAATAATAAAATTAAAATATTACAATTGAAATTGAAGTAAAACTCTTTGGGTGCATGAGAGTGAAATGTCAAGGCCGCGTTACGAGAAAACGTCACGAAAAATCGTCACGCCCGTGACGCTTGCCTTGGATTGCCATGGAGACCGTTATTACATTTTTTTTATTATTAATTTAAATTGTCTTAATAACTTTTTTTTTAAATCTTTTTGTACTAGTTATTGGTTAGGTTTTTTCTAGATTTGATCTTCGTCACGGGCTTACATACTGACATTTAATTTGAATTTCAAAATAAGTTGTCCGTCCGTCACGCGACGCCTGGCAGATGTAAATAAATAAATAAAATCATGTAAAACATCTATGTTAAATTAATTAATTCTATTAATATGTAATATAAAAGCTGTATGTTTTCCTGAATAAATAAATAAATAATTAGTGTAAGGTTACATTTTTATATATTGAGTGTTTTAATAGAAAATAATATATTTCATTAATTTTTATTTTTTTATATATAAGGCATTTACTTATGTGACCTTGACCGATAGGAGTGTGTCTTAAAAAAATAAAAAGGGCGCGGATATTCATTTGTTTTCCCGCGCTTTTGCACAGAGATGTCGGTCAGAGATGCGCAAACTAGGTCCTGGAGTGGATTGAACATGGAATAGTTCCTTTCCATAAAGGAACTATGTTCACGAAACATGTTCGCGGAACTATCTAGTTCCGATAGTTCATCCGATCCGATCGTTCCGATTTTAACAGGTTATCACTGTCATCGGTTCCCGAGGACAGCATTGCGGGAGATATTGTTTTAATTGACCGACTTCAAAAAAAGGAGGTTATCAATTCGACACGTATGTATATAATATTATTAGAACTGCAAGATATTAACATAATATGATATATTAGGGCTTCGAAGCAAATATACAAAATTTTATAGGTGTATAGATGTATGTATGTATGTATGTATGTATGTATGTTTGTTTGTTTGTTTGTTTGTGTGTATGTATGTTTGTCCACGCATTTCGCCGAATCTACTATTCCGACGTGATCATGCCTTTTTATTTGCTTACATTTATTTTAACTTAGGGAATAGTAAGAATTTCATCAAAATCGGTTCATTGGTTTTGAAGATATGGATAAAAAAGTGTATTTTTTGTAATTACTACTTTTTACAAAAACTATTTCAGTTTTTACTTAAAACTAAAAATTACGAAATAAAAAAGGTTTAAAAAAAATTAAACCAACTTCAAAAAACTACGGTGCTTTCGCGCGCAATGTGACTCTAGACGAACGCCACAAAGTACAAAAATATTGTGTCAAAAGTGAAAGAATATTATAATTTAAAAATATATTATTAATGTTTTAAAAGTTCAAAACGAAAATCAGATTTAATCAATGAATTATCGACTTTAACGCACAGTGAAGTTGGCACATTATTAATTGTAATAGCATAGTAAGAGATGACATTATAATTATTGCGAATACTCGCACACGCACTAGTCACTACAGAAGTTTACACACAGTACCTACGCGATATAATGGCGCTTCCACACAGCAGTGCAGCAGATAACATCACATACCTAACATTTTTTAACATGAAATAATTTTAAACCCACGAAAAAAAGAAGGTTCTCAATTCGACACGTATAAATATATTTTTTTATTGTTTGACCTCTTCTTACTTTGGTACTAGGTATCCACTATATCTACACTAAAAATGGAAAATAAAAACTTAAAAAAAACTACTTCAAATAAATGAAAATATTGTAAATGATTGTTTAACTTATGAATTATTTTATTATATACATTGATTTTAATTTTTAATTATTTATTGTTACTATTTTTATTAATTATAAATTCTAATTCATATTAGGTATTGTAAAAATTAAGAAAAAAGTTTAAATTAATAAACATTCTTTATATACATCATAATTAATATAACATTAGATCTAATACTATTATTATAATATAACTGAATATGAAAGGATTTTATTAATAATTAATAAATACTTACTTTCTTAAATTGTTTTAATAGCAATTTTAGTAAGCGCAAGAAATGAAAGGCTTTTTTATTTTAATTTAATGTATTTAGTTTGTGTTCGGTGTTTGGCACGTTTTTATGATTCTCGGTGCTTGTGGCAAGCGCCCAGCATGTGGACGCGGCTTAACAGATTACTAAAAAAAATTAACGCTTGTGAGGACGCACCTTAAAATTTAATATATAGCTATAGCTCGGGTAGGTTCGGCAGGAGTCGGTTACGTTCAGTTCAGTCAGTCGCTCCGGTGATCGGTCCAATATATTCGTTTCTCGCTCCATCTCACTCCTGCACATGTGGAACTATATGGAACTGTGAACCTGTTTCAATTGACATCGCGGATTGGAACGATATCGTTCCGGCCTAGGACATAGTTCCGGGAACTATTTCAATCCGGACCTACGCATGTCTAATGTCGGTACCACCATGTAGGTCACTGCGAATTGTTTGTAATACTGAAAATTATCTATACATATAATAAAATTCTAACTGAGTCAAATCTGTACATTAAATATTTTTGGAAAATCTTATTGAAATAGACATTATTATTTATTATCGATACAGAGGCCAAATCTATAGTTTTTAGAATTCCTGTCTGTCTGTCTGTCTGTCTGTTACCGCATCACAGAAAAACCACTGGAGGGATTTTGATGAAATTTGGTATGGTGATAGCTGGTTATCCGGGTCAACATATAGGATACTCTTTATCGCGGGAAAATGTCTCATTTCTGAGAAAAAACACAAAAACTACAATGTACTGTATACTAATATGTAAAACCTAAGAATTTGGTTTTTGGTCATCAGAACGCGGGCGGAGCCGCGGGCAATGCTAGTCCTGAATAAATAAACAAATAACTAGTAATATTTGTCCCAGAACCACGTCGAGACTGTGATACCGTCCCCGGGCCGGCACGTGCGCGTCCTCAACGGCGCCTACCGCGGGGAGCTCGCGCTGCTGCGGGGCGTGGACACGGAGCGCTTCTGCTGCGATATTGAGGTACATGCTTCTTGGTCTGTTTGTGTGTGTGTGTCTCGCTTTGCTCGGGTTCGGGTTCGGGTTCCCTAGCTTGCTTCCCCATACAAACTATCATCCCCATTCTGACCCTCTTAATCCCTCCACGACCACGGACACACCGGCGCGGCGTGTCAGTTAACAATAGATTTCTTAGAATTTTAATTAGTAAAAATATTTTTTATTCTAGATTTCAGGAGGACTACTCAAAGGCAGACTCGTCAAGGGTGTTCAGTATGAAGATATAAGTAAATTGGCAACATGATGATTTTTTTTAATAATAAATGTATTTTTTTTAAATTGGGTTTTTATTTTATTAGTCACTAGCGGAACCCGCGGCTTCGCTCGCGCCAAAAGTACAAAAAAATCTCTAAAAAAAGTACTTTCATACAAATTTTTATCTCCTATTTTACCCCCCTATAGGATGAATTTCGAAAAATGCTGAAACACGTATTTATTTAATTTTATTAAAGAGCATTAATGCCAAGTATCAAGTAATTCTGATGAGAAATATTTTTTAAATTGTATTCTAATGTGTTTTACCGTGTTAATTAGGTAATCTCCGGCAGTAAATATTGAGAGATTGAGAGAGAATATTAAGTTAATAAACAAGACTTCTGACAAAAAGTTTATTTAAATTCATTCTTTTTCATTAAAGGAAAAATGTAGTGGCGCCATCAGGTGTTACAGTATAAAATTAAACAGGCAAACACTTATAGCATACAGCCAACTAATAAAATAAAATTTAATCCAAAAGTAAAAAGTAGCCTATATCACTCTCCAGCCCTCCAACTATCTCCACACAAAAAATCACCCCAAACCGTGGCTCCGTTTTGACGTGAAAGAAGGACAAACAAACACACTTTCACATTTATAATTTTAAGTATGGATATTCATTATAGTATCTTATATATTCTGATTTTAATAAGTGATTTGTATTCAGATTTGTATATATTTATTCTAATATTGAGCACTGTTGTTTCATAGTATTCATTTAAATGTAATATTTTTAAATGTAATTAAATTGTATTTAAATGTAATTAAATGTATTATTTTAAAGTAATTTTAATTGAAATATTAGTAAAAACTTTGATTTTTCGAGTCTTCCGGCTGTCATAAATATAATTTGCTTGTTAACGAGCAGAGTATTTTATTATTATTTACATCGAGACTGGACCCGGGACCGTGTGACTGGAGAAAGTTTGAGTTTACCAGTTTGCTTGATAGATGGCGTTGTACAATTAGCATCGACTGTTTTATCGAAACAGTCATCAGAAACAAAGATATTATTTCGAATAAACGTCAATAGATGGCGTTGTGTGTATTGAATTGCTATTGAAGTTTGTATACAATTGCAAAAAGATAAGAATAGATACCAAAATGGTAGAAGAGGATTAAAAAATACTCTTAAGGAAAACGATAAAACATAACCCTCCTTCTGGCGCAGTCGGACAATAAAATAGTTCAGAAGTTTTCTGAATCAACGACATCTATTACCTATTCAAGCCAACAAGAATAGCCCGAATTAGCGTTGTTCAATCTCTTTCTATGGGATGAGGCATCTGTACTAGTATAGTATTATATTGTCTGTGGTATAGCTAAATCTATCCACTTTATAAGTACAATCAAAATCGGTCAAGCCGTTTAGAAGGATAATAAATAAAAAAGTTTGTCCGTGTGTTTGCAATTCACACAATGGTAGAAGTGAGACTTCAGAAAAGTAACCAACGAGAGAAAGAGATGAACTTATAGGAGTATCAAGAGTAGGATAAATTGTAAGGTTTATTTTTTTATATTTTTACCAAAATTAAAAGTTATTTTACAATTTTTATTTAACATATATTACATATTATTTAGCATCATTTCTCACTTCCTGTGTAAATGTATTCTATCTCATTCTCTCGTCGGCTTAATATATATATTTGTGTTTGTCTCTTTCCCGTGTCACATTTTCGTCTCATCGAATTTCAAATCACAACGATCCTTACTTTAAAATGTTACACGTCATATCTTAAATTGCTTCATTTAGAATATTAATTTTATGTTTAGGAAAATAAAAAAAACAAAAGACTACTGCACCATATATATTTATTATAAAATGTGACATCGTAAAACAGTATATTTGGTAGCCATTATAATACAATAACACTTTAGTTAACGTAATTAGTCAAAAATATTCGAAATTCTAATTTGACAGCTGTCACTTTGATTGGCGAATGTTGCCATTTTAAAAACTTCAATCTATTATAAAAATAGGTATAGGATTTATTAAAAGCACCGGTATTTAAGGCACGATTCGGGTAAAGGAACACAGCACATTTAATACTTAAAAAAAACAAATACAGATTAATAATATTTTTAAAAGTTTTAATCTAATTGCACTACAGATTGTAAATAATTCGATTTTATGTAATATTTTCCATACAACATTTTCCTAAAAAAACAAATGGATGGAAATAGGATGGTTTAAAATTTATATAATTTTATAAAATCTAACATAATATATATACTACGAATGTTCCATATACTATAAAAGATTAATAAAAAAACAAGAACTGTCCAAAACTTTCTTTTATATCTAACCCTTAAATGCATAATTGATTAAAAAATACAATTAATTTTTTTTAAATATATTTTTGTAAAAAAATATATCAAAATGATGTTATAAAAAAAAGTTGTATCATTTTTGATACAATATGCATTTACAGGTTCAGTAGTCACAATCTTAAAAAAGATTTCTAAGGGTATTAAGTTCTTTCCCGGCTGATGTAAATTAGATTTGAAATGTAAATATTTTTAACAATAACTTAAGCACTAAACTGCTGGCATGTTAAATATAAAAAAAAATCAACGTTATAAAAACCTAAATAAAAACTTTCATCGGGACGTAGAAGCGACATTTAAAAACTCGAATCAATCGAAAAAATTGTTCATCCATCATAAATATGTTACATAGATGGGTGGCAGTGATAGCCCAGAGGTGACGCGCTCGCTTGGGAAACCGAGTGAAGCGAGTTCAAATCCCGGGTCTCGCACCTCTGATATTTTCATGTGTGAATAATACCCAATATGGTTACCCCTTGCCTTACGGTGAAAGAAAAGGATCTAGCAAGTTAACAAAAGACACGCTCAGTCCCGCACTAGGCCAGCGTGGTGGACTATGGCATGATCCCCCCCGTACTGAAGGGAGGCCCGAGCCCCAGCAGTGGGACGTTAAAAAGGGCTGTATACATATATAAGAAAAATATTGCAAAATTAAAAGAGGAATAATTAAAAACACTTTGTGATGATTTAGATTTTCGTAGTCTAATAATAAAAACGTGTCAATAAAAAATATATGGTCGCGTCCCGCGGCAGCGAGTGTTGCCGTTGAAAAATATACGCAAATAAGTACTCTCTCATAAAACTACACTAAAACTAATGTTATCGCAAAATGCCATTTTAAATACTTAAAAAAAAATCAATTACTCAACTTGATTCTTCATTTTCATATTATGATACAAAATAAAGAATCAAATTAAATAAAAATTAAGCTTTCACCGCGAAATTGTCATAAATGTGTGTTTGTGGCAGTGTTGCCAGTCGCCGCCGGTGGTGCTGTTACTTCAGCAGCTTCTCCTCTTCGGGCTTGGAGTCGCCTCTGTCGTGTGGTTTGAACGAAGAGTTCGATAACGGGCTAGCTGATATCGGGGCGAGCTGAAATGACACAAATATTTATATAATATAATATTTTATAACAACTCTCTCTCACTCCGTTCGGGTTCGTCCCTATTTACGTTTACATTTAGTATAGATTTTTCAGAGATGAGATATTTTCCCGCAGTAAAAAGTATCCTATATGTTGACCCGGATAACCAGCTATCACCATACCAAATTTTATCAAAATCTGTCGAGTGGTTTCCTCTTGATGCGTTCCCAGACAGACAGACAGAGACAAAAATTCTAAAAACTATAGATTCTACCTCTGTATCGATAATAATGACTATTTCACTAAGATTTTCCATAAATATTTAATATGTATACAGATTCGACTCAGTTAGAATTTTATTATATGTATAAATAGATACACAGACAAACCCGAGCGAAGCGAGGGTGAGTCGCTATATAACATAAATCGAACGAGATTTTTTGTAGATTGAACGCGAGCGAAGCCGCGGGTTCTGCTAGTTAATTATAATTATCAATGTTTTATTTACAGTGCCGTACCCGCCATACCTGCTCAGTATCGAGTCCAACGAGTGGCGACGTCCGTCTGACAGCGTGGAATTATATTATAATTATCAATTATAAAAAATAATTTAATGCACATTATGTTCATTTTTTATATTAGAAAATTTTTAAGTTCATATAAAAGCTAGTCACTATAAGAGTGACCTAACTTAAAAAAAAATTGATAAAACAACATTTAACATAAAATGTCTATTCGCAATAACATTTTAACTATAATATGTATAAAATAAATATATAATTCTGTACGCGTGTGTCACTGTATTCCTCCTAATCGGCTGGACCGATTTTGATGTTATTTTTTGGTTTGTTTGAATGGGTTCCTGGATGGTTTAGATTTATAACCAACCGATAGGTTGCGCTGCAGTCAGGTTCTAGGATTTTTTTTATTTTTGTTACTATTGGACCTCGTCTGGTCTTCCCGAACGTTTTTCTTTACCATAATTGATTTGGACAATAAAACAAATACTACAAGACCAGCCGTTTAAGAGAAGTTCAGTGACATACACACGTACTGAATTATTATATATATGTACGGACAGGACAACGTCTGTCCGGTCCGCTAGTTAATATATATAATAATGATAAAGAAATGAAAAAATAAATATTACGTTATAGTTTTGTAAAAATTAAAATAAAATATGTCATATTTTAAATATGAAAGTTATGCCATTTTTACACGAAGTCTATGAACATATAAGGTTTGAAATTTTAAATTATTTACCTGTTTAAGCGGAGATTTCTCTTTGGAATTCTCAACAATATCATCATTTTTGTCGCCTTCAAGAAGAAGCTGAAAATAAAAAAATAATACATTAACTATAATTAAACTATTAAACTATCTTTTAAGATATTTTCGTGGATTTGTTTTTGATTTTTTCTTCCCGACGTTTCGAATTCTTTACAGGAATCATGGAGAGATAGCTTTATTTAAAACACTTAACAAACTTTTGTATTTTATATAAGTTCAGTACCTTGTCAACTTCAGGCTCGATCTGTTCATTCGTCCCACCCTTTTTGAGGGCACCCTTCTCCATCAACGTGGCACGTTTTGCTGCTAAGTACATAGATCTGTGAATTAAATTAATGTTATTTTTTTAATTGAATAATTTTAATAAAATTTATTTATTGATGTGAAACATCTATTGGCACGTCTTTGCTGTAAAACAGACTCCACGACTCCGCGTGTACTATAACACTTTGTCGCTTTTCTATGTGCTTTGCGTAATGTTTCTTTATTTTACTCCATATTTCATTATACTCGTAAGCTTATATTAATTATGACATCTGACATTTTTATTTAAAAATAACTGTTTTTTTGGCGATTTTATATCATTTTTGTGTTCATTTTGCGCACATGGTCACGGGAGAGACTAAGGTATATGTCTCAAAAGTCATGTTTATTATAGACGGTGAGTAACCACAAGATATAATGAATGTACATAGAAACTATGGGGTCTCATTAGGAACAAAGAAAAATTAGTTCACATAAAGTTTGTGTAAAATTAACAAAAGATAATATAAACTAGCGGCTCATCCTAGTTGCGCTCTGGTTAGCCTCTAGGAAAACAAAAACTAATCTGTCCCACGGGAACCGTCCATTTTTCCGGGATAAAAAACAGCCTATGAGCTATTCCAGACGTTATAAAGGGCTGTATACATAAAGCCGAAAGTAGTGAACCATTTCTTGATATTTTAAATAAAACTATCTTTTCGGAGTATTTCGTGGGCTTATTTTAATATTTGGTTTCCGACGTTTCGAATGCTTTACAGTGTAACTGTTTGTAGAATATTACGTCTTCGAGACATCTAACACCTCAGTCTCTCCCGTGACCATGAATGCTGTAAAGCATTCGAAACGTCGGGAACCAAAAATCTAAATAAATCCGCGAAATAATCTGAAAAGATAAAATGACAAATATTCGCTTTAAATGTAAGAAAGTACGCAGCACCTCTTGATGGTGAGGTAGTAGAGCTCGGCGATGGCGCGCACGGAGTAGTCCGGCACGAAGGTGTGGCGCAGCATGGAGTCCATGTTGAGGTTCTGCAGCGAGCCCAGCGTCGACGGCGCCGGCGACTCCGCTGCGGGCACCAGTTACGGAGATAAAATAATAATAATAAACAAACATTTGCCATTACTGTACGGCGGATACCTATTGCGAGTGCTTTGTGTGGGAATTTTTAACCACTTTTTTTATTTTACTACTAGCAGCGTTCTCATCCTCGCTTCGCTCGGGTTCGTCCTTAAGTTAATTCCCCATACAAACTTTCACCTCCTCAAGGGATGATTTCCGGAACTATCCTATGTCCTTCCGAATCTCAAACTATCTTCTTGCCAAATTTCATTTAAACCGATCCAGTAGTTTGTGAGTTTATTCGTTACGAACATACAAAAAATAAAAAAATTTCCTTATTATAATATTAGTGTAGATTACTACTCCGCCCCCTCGGGTGGTAGGATGATAATATATATCCTACATAGCCTTCCTCAATAAATATGCTATCTAATGCATAAATTTTTTTTAAATCATATTACTAGTTTTTGAGGTTAGCTCGTTCAAACAAACAAACTTTGCCTCTTTATAATATATACTAAAATAAAAAGATATGATAAAACTATGTGATCCATCCATATACGATACATTTATAAATATTCACTTTTTACGTTAAATTACTAATAGTCATACAGTTCGGTAACACCATCCGTGAACACACTTGGATGGGTGACCATTTCCAGACACAAAACTGTTAAGCTGACACTTTAAGGCACTGACCGAGGCCCACGTTCTGCGTGAGCGCCTGCACGCCGAAGTAGGTGAAGGGCCCCGCCTCGAACACCAGGTTCTCGCGCCCCACCGTCACCTCCACGCGCCCCTCCAGGATCAGCACGAAGTAGTCCACCTGGGGGATCATTTACATTGTTGTAACCGATACTTTTTAAATAAATATGTCGGGACATTGACACACAGCACCATCTAGTTCATGGTAAGCTACGAGGCTTGTGTTATGGATACCAGATAGTTGATACATTACACATATTTGAACATATAGCTTTAAATACATACATATTATAAATATAAACACCCATAACTGGAGTACAAACATTCATGTTCATTACACGTACGGATGCCCCCAGTGGGACTCGAACCCGCAACCGCTGACACAGTAAATAAGGTCACTACAAATTGAGCCAAACGTGTCGTCAAACGTTTAAACGTCCTATCGCTAGGAGTGGGCATCCCTTTAATACGAGGGAGATCAAGCCATAGTCCATCACTCTGCCCGTGTCGTAGACTAGTAGATTTTGATGAGTAGGTCTTCTCAAGACATATTCTTCAAACAATAATATTAGTGTTAATGAAAATGGTAACCATATCAAAAAAAACTACATTAAAGTCTCAGGATAAAAAACTAATAAAAACTAAAAATAACAATCAACAATTTAAGTAAAAATTAATAAAAAAATAAATTAATAAGAAATTTGGTAGTTTTAAGTGTGAAAGAGACAGTTATACAAAGCCGAATCTGCCCTCTCTCTCCTCTCTCCCACAGCAGCGCACTCACCGGCTTCCCCTCCTGGAAGACATATCTCTTGGGGTCGTTCCTGTCCTCGTCCCCGCGCAGCTTGATGTGCTGGATCACGTCCTGCTTCAGCAGTCTGCGGAGCACCGTCTCTGATATCAAGTCCGAGCGGAACGCGTCCACGCCTGGGGGTGGGGGAGAAACAATTATTTACGTTTCTAATATTATAAATGTGAAAGTTTACATGTTTGAATGGATGTTTGTTACGCTATTACATCAGAACGGCTGAACGGATCTGGATGAAATTTGGCACAGAGATAGATTAGTTTGGAATAGCATATAGGTTACATTTTATGCTGGAAATATGTAAGCTTCTCATTATAGTTTAAGATCCGAACCTAAATCGACCTTCACCGGGTTGATAATAGAATGAGAGCTATTTTATACTAAACCAGCATTGCCCGCGGTTCCGCCCGCGTTCAGGTGACCAAAAACAAAGTTCTTAGGTCTTACATATTAGTATACTATTACATAGCAGTTTTTGTATTTTTTCTCAGAAATGAGATATTTTTTCGTGGTAAAAAGTATCCTATATGTTGACCCGGATAACCAGCTATCACCAAATTTCATCAAAATCCCTCCAGTGGTTTTTCTGTGATACGTTAACAGACAGACAAACATTCTAAAACGTATAGATTCGGACTCTATATCGATAATAATGTCTATTTCAATAAAATTTTCCAAAACATATTTAATGTACAGATTCGGCTCAGTTAGTTTTATTATATGTATAGATTTAGTGTATTAGAAAGTGTGGGAAGTGTATGACTCACTGGTGCTCATGAACTGGAAGGTGGCGAGGATGAGCTGCGGCGAGACGTGCACGCGCTGGTGCTGGTGGCCCGCGAAGGCCGCGATGTCATGCAGCTTGTTGCCGGGCCGCGGCAGCCGCTTCTTGGTGCGGTTGTCCGCTGCGAAGGAAGATATATGTATTTTTTTAATATTAGCTGTATATTTTTTTATTTTATCTGTAAATAGTTTTAAGCCACTGATAGCTCAGCGGTAACGCATTCGCGTGGCAAACCGAGTGAAGCGGGTACAAATCCTAAGTGTATCGCACTTTTGATATTTTTATGTTTCATTCCAACATGATTACCACTTGCCTTACGCTGAAGGAAAACATCGTAAAGAAATTTCGCATCTGAGAGAACCTAGCAAGTTGTCGAAAGACATGCTCAGTTCCGCACTTGGCCAGTATAATATACTGTGGCCTTATCCCTGACATTGAAGGGAGGTCCACGACCAGAAATGAGACGTGAAAAAAATGATTGAATGAAAAAATGATTGAACATACACACAAACCCTTTATCTATTTCCATTTATATTTTAAATATTTTGTTTTTCTAAAAAAGACAACAGATAATACCTAAAATTGAAGATAATATTGATAAATGGCGATAAATAAGGTTAAACTCACATGCTTCTATAAATAAAAAAAAACATATCTTGAAATTACTAAATGCTACATTTAAATATAACAACGTTAAACAGTTCGTAAGAACCGGTCGGGACACAAAGGCGTGACTCACAGATGACGTCGCTCTCGTCGACGATCTCGGCCTGTATCATCTCCTCGATGACGTCCTCGAGCGTGACGAGCCCCACGGTCTCGTACAGCGGGTCGCCGTCGCCCTCCTCGATGCGCTGCACGAACGCCATGTGCCCCTTGTGCCCTGCCGGCACCGTCGGTCGTTATATACACACACATATATATATACGAAAATCAATCAGCCGAGTACGACATATACTTATAATATTATAAATGTGTAAGTGTGTTTGTCTGTCCTTCTTTCACGTCGAAACGGCTTGGCGGATTGGCGTGGCGAGATAGTTGGAGGGCTGGTGAGTGACATAGGCTGCTTAATGACGTTAGAAATTATCTCACTCCCACGTTATAATACAATGCAAAAATATATTTATGAGCTGAATTACTTCAAACTTGGTATTCTATAAGGGGGTAAAATTGGGGATAAAAGTTTGTATGAAACTACCTTTCTAAAGATTTTTTTATAGTTTCAGCGCAAGCGAGGCCACGGGTTCTACTAGTATGAAATAAAAACAAATCTACCCCACGGGAACAGTAATTTTTCCGGGATAAAAATAGCCTATATGTTATCCTGATGTATGAGCTATATTATTGTAAGGTTTCATTAAAATCCATTCAGTAGTTTTTACATGAAAGAGTAACAAACATCCATACATCCTCACAAATATTAGTAGGTTTAATTATAATTAAATATTTATATATTTTATCTTACAATATTAAATCAGCAATTATTGTATATATAAAAATTTATTTCATGTACCTCGGAAACGGCTCTTACGATTTGGATCAAAATTTGAATTTAGAAAAGATTCTCCTAAGTTTATGTATATAGGTGGATAAAAATGCTTTACATAAAAACACACAGGTACTATAAAAAATACAATAAACTAAACTCTAAATTAATTTTAAAACAACTAATATATTAAAAAAAACAAAGACAGTTTAAGAACAGAAGATATTTTACAAACAATAGCAAATTAGCATTTATATTAGTAATTGTGTAATCGTTATATAAATCTGTGTCAGACAAACAGATATGAGGAAAATTCGTAGTACTAATTGAGAGTGATAATTAATTATACATTATCAATATTAATTATTAATTATAATATAAACAATTATATAAAAAATATACCAACAGTACCCGCGGCTTCGCCCACGTTCAAATTTCCGATATAAGTATCAGTTTTACAATAATGTATGGAAATCTATCCGATTTGTTGACATTTATGATTGCTGCTCCGCTCCCTTGGGCGGTAGCATGATGATATAAAGCCGATAGTGTTCCTCAATAAACGGGCTATCTAATGCAAAAAGGTTTTTTTTTTAAATCGGATTAGTAATTCCTGAGATTAGCGTGTTCAAACAAACAACCCAACAAACAAACTGTCTCTTTATAATATTAGTATAGATTATAAATCAATTAACATTTTTATTGTTTTTTTTTCTATCAATAGGTGAAATCTCTTAAGTCTATTTTAAAAAAGTTTAAAAAATCTTTTAAATAGATGTCTTTATTTTTTTTAAATAAAATAAATAAAATATTTTATTGCTAATAAAGTCTGAACTACTGAGATAAAAGTACTAAAGATTTTAATGAAACTTTACAATAATATAGCTAATACGTCAGAATAACATATAGGCTACTTTTTATCCCGGAAAAATGTACGGTTCCCGCGGGGTAGATTTGTTTTTGTTTTTTTTTAGAGGTGAACCCGAGCGAATCGACGGCGAGGTAAAGCCAGATGACACGCTAGTCGTTATAAAGCCATCACCGCACACATTTCTCATGTAAAGTAGATCAGATATTATAAATAAACAGTCTGACCGGAGTTATAAATCACTACACGCCACGAATTTTTTTGGCAAGATTCCGGATATTTATGCAACAGACCGACGCGTATAGTCTAGCTCCAGCATTTACTTTTAAAATTCATAATGTATATGCTATTAAAAACTTTTATTGTTTATTTATATTTGTATCTATACATATAATAAAATTGTAACTAAGCCGAATCTGTACATTAAATGTTTTTTTTTGTAAAATCTTATTGAAATAAACATTATTATCGATACAGAGGCTGAATCTATAGTTTTTAGAATATCTGTCTGTTACCGCATTACAGAAAAACCACTGGAGGGATTTTGATGAAATTTAGTATGGTGATAGCTGGTTATTCGGGTCAACATATAGGATACTTTATACCGCTGGAAAATATCTCATTTCTGAGAAAAAATAAAAAAAACTGCAATTGTAAGAGTATACTAATATATAAAACCTAAGAATTTGGTTTTTGGTCATCTGAACGCGGGCGGAGCCGCAGGCAATGCTAGTCTATTATATGAGTAATATGCATGACCCATATTTATGTAAGAGTGTAAAGAACGACGAACATTCACACCGTATTCTTGGGTCTATTCGACTCATTAAAAAACAAAAAGTAAAAAAAAAATACTTTTTTTTGAAGTCGGGTAAAAAAAACTTTTAATTATCGGTATATACAATAGACATATATACCGGAATTTCATTGGGCGTTTTTTTCCGGAAAAGATAAAAAAACGTGTTTTTTTACGAAAAGATAACTATATAAATAAATACAAAATTCGATCGAAATCGTTAGAGCCGTTTCAGAGATACACGAATTACATTTATACATATATAAATATACAAGAATTGCAAATTTAATGTTATAACATAATATACATCGTACCAGATGATACTAAATATATTATTTTTCAAAAATAACTTTAATAACGCTAACAAAAACAGTATTTAAAAGAAAAAATAAACATAATTTCGTCAATCGGACATACGACAAGAGTAATCTGAACCAGAGAACGTCCTCAGTGGGGAGCTCACCTTCCTTGAACTGCTTGAGCATGACGTCGAGCGTGACGTCCTCGAAGACGAAGTTGCAGGGGTTCTGGTAGTACTGGCACAGCGTGCGCAGCGGCGTGTTGTCGTCGGGGTCCACGAACGCCAGGTCCTTGATGAACAGCACCGTCACGATGTTCCCGCGGCTGCCCTCGTACACCGGGATGCGGGAGTAGCCTGTGGTATTATATCACATTTTCATAATTAAAACATATCTATACATCTATACACATAAATAAAATTGAAGTGTCTGTAATGTCAAAATAACAGCTTTTTACTAAATGCATATGGAATTATATACGGTATTTATAAAAAAAACATATTTTTTTTAAATATTGTCTGTCTGTTTGTTCCGGCTAATCTCTGAAACGGCTTGACCGATTTTGACGGGACTTTCACTGGCAGATAGCTGATATAAAGGAGTAACTTAGGCTACTTTTATTTTAGAAAAAAAAATAGGGTCCCACGAAAAAAAAATCAAAACAATGAAAAATTTAATAATATCCGATTCAAATAGGTAAGTTATATACATACCCTAGGGACGAACCCTAACTAAGCGAAGGGGAGTCGCTAGTAAAAATTATGCATATATGGAGGATTTTGAGGTTTTTATATAACTTAAATATAAATATATATAAATATGTTGGGACATTAACACACAGCGCCATCTAGTTCCATGGTAAGCTACGAGGCTTGAATACGATTGATGTTTTTATAGATTGATTGATACGAAGCTACTTGCTGTGCCAGCGGTCGTGAGTTCGAGTCCCGCTGGGGGCATTCATTTGTGTGATGAGCACGAATGTTTGTACTCCAGTCATGGGTAGTTATATTTACATTATGTATGTATTTAAAGTTATATATGTGTAGTGTATCAACTATGTGGTAGTCTATCAACACAGGCCTCGTAGCTTACCATGGAACTACTTTCACATTTATAATAATACATACTAATGTATGGATTGATCATTGTTTTATTTTAGCAAAAACAACATCTGATTCATGTAGGGAAAATGCCCACAAGAAATATTGTGCAAGATTGCTGTTATTCAATTAATATACTCGTATTCGACTGCTGACCAAAATAAAATCATTATTCATATGTCACGCGTCAGTGTGCCGATGTAAAGAATATTTATAAATATATACATATAATAAAATCCTAACTAAGTCAAATCTGTACATTAAATATTTTTTGGAAAATCTTATTGAAATAAACATTATTATCGATACAGAGGCCGAATCTATAGTTTTTAGAATTTTTGTCTGTCTGTCTGTTACCGCATCACGAAAAATCACTGGAGGGATTTTGATGAAACTTGGTATGGGTGATAGCTGATTATCCGGGTCAACATATAGGATACTTTTTGCCGCTAAAAAATGTCTCATTTCTGAGAAAAAATACAAAAACTGCAATTTATGAGTATACTATGTAAAACCTAGGAATTTGGTTTTTGGTCATCTGAATCGGGCGGAGCCGCGGGCAATGCTAGTAATATATATTTTTGTAACTGAAAATGTACACTCTATTCATTTCTTTGTTTATCTAAACTATGATAACTCGACACTGACCAAAGAAATGTAAGGAGCAGAACCGACTGCTTTACGTACTCACTCGAGGATTTAACAATACCACTTGATAGAAACCATCAATAATAATTATACTTGGCCTAACGTGGGATTCGAACCCATAACGTTTTTTGATGTACAAAGAAGGGTTTTATCATTATTATCAAGGAAATAAGGGTATTTTTTGTGTACTCACCAGATTTAACAATTTCCGTCATAGTTTCAAAGTCCAAGACACTGTTTATGGGCAGCATGTAGCAGTCCTTTAGTTTAGTCATCACATGACTGACAGTCTTTTTACGAAGGTCGAGTGCTCCAGAGATGATGTTCACTTCTTCCTTATCCAAATCATTTACGTGGTTCGTGATCTGGTGAAGAGGATATGAAAAAATGGTTGTAGCTTTATAGAAAGTGATAAGTCATACTGTTGATAGCAATAATGTTCTCCTGACCGATTCCGGCCACGGCGGCCAATCTCATTGAGACTAGCCAACTGCGCAGGAGATATTATCGTGCACAAGTGCACGCGCAGACACAAGGGCACTCTCTATTCATGTAATTCTCATACTCCGGTGGGATGACACGAGACACGGCTCTACGTGCTCTCCGATGCAAGGGGATGAAACAACTCCGGGCTGTTACTGAGAATTTCTTGATAGAAATACTCAATAACTGAACTTGATCCGACCCGGGACTCGATTCCAGAACCTCTGGATCGGCGGCCGCGCATACCACTACTTAGACAACATACAACCACTAGACCACCGAGGCAGTTGGTAACAATAAATTAGGGGATCCTTGAGCAATTTCTATTTGACTTAGACCTTGAAAAATATCTGTATAGCCATGATTCTTGAGACTCTGAAGAGAATCAAACCCACGATCCCTTGGGCCTAAATTTAGCTGCAGAGTATTTTTATAGATAGAACTTTTAATAAATTTTCGGCTCGGTGAAAGTCGAACCACATTTCTGAAGACATTCGGAAAATTACTTACTTTGCTTATATGTTTTTGCGTAGTATTTGGATTATGGAACCGCGAAAATTACAAGTTATTTTGTATATTGTTTTAAGAAAAAACGAACATTTTCTTTACATAAATAATATATAATACAAACCTTTACAAGCTCCTTTAGTCTCTCTCTATTGTAATGTGTACCAATTTCTTCGCCCAAGAAGTAGTCTAAGAGCTTGCTGGTCGGCCACGCGAGCGGAGCGCAGATACCCATGACAATCTAAAAGATAGTACATACAATAAATAAAACTTAATTTTGCAGCTTAATTTAGATTTTTTGTTCCAGACATTTCAAATGCTTACGGCGAACATGTTCACGGGAGAGATCACCATCAAAAAAAGTCGTGAAAAAAAACCAAAATAAAATATTTAAAATTTCCGAAAAATTATACACTTTTATTTAAGAAATTTATTTATTTAATTTAAAAAGTATTAAGAGTAAAATTACTTAAAATAAAGAATCCGTAAGATATGATTGTACTCGTAAATTAAAAATTCTAGCTAACAGCATTTGAATTTATCATGACCAAAAAATACACAAACAAATCTATACTTCTATGCTAATATTATAAATAGTTAAAGTTTTTGAGTTTGTGAGGTCGTAGGGGGTAATCTCTGGTTTACTGAACCGATGTAGATGAAATTTGGTAAGAAGATAGTTTGAGACCCTGGGAAGGACATAGGATACTCTTTATCCCGGAAATCATCCCTTAAGGGGGTGAAAATGGGGATGAATGTTTGTACGGGGAATCAACCTATACTCGTATATCGCTAGTATTTAAATAAACAGAAAAGCGCACAAAAATTAAAATAATGACATTTCGACACATAGTAATAATATATTGAGTGAATATAGAAATGTCTAATTTCAAATCGGCTTGAACTTAAAAGAGGATCATCGCACTCACCTTCATAATCCAAATACTCTTAGCACCAATAAAAAGACCATGTCTGGCACATATAGCTTGGGGCGTAATCTCAGCAATAAACACGATGGCCAGCGTAGATCCTATGACAGCCACCAATCCTGACGTCAGATCATCCAAAATAACTGTAAAAGTGCTGTTCACAGCCACATTACTCAACAAAATTGTGCAAAGAAGGTAATTTCCGTGAGACCTGACTGGCATGATTGCTCTTGCATACTTCCTCTCTTTCTCTGTTCCCGTATTAGCGATGATCTTCAACTCTGTTCTATCCAATGCCATAAGTCCAAGATTCAATCCCGAAAATAGTGAAGCTAACATCAGTAAGATGACGATGAGGATCAGAGAAGCCCAAAGCGGTAACAATTTGTTGTGAGTGGCCAATATTTTCCATTTTTCCTGTCCTTGGTGCATGAATTCTTCATCTTCAGCATTTTTGGTGCAAATGTAGAATTTGTAGTCTTCCAATGGCGCAGGTGCAATTAATTCAAAAAGTGCTGAGTCAGCATTAGTTTCTTTAACCTGCAAGAAATATTTTCGGTAAATTTAAGTTTTTTTAATATAAGTAACATTACTCATACCTAAAATAGTGTAGTAGAAAGTAAATTATTGTTTTACATTAATTTTGGAAATTCGTCCCAAAATTCTAAGCGAAAAAAAAACTTGACTGACTGGCTCCCTGACTCTATCACCATTTAACCGTCTGTCTCTAGGTTACGGCGTGACAAGCAAAAACACTGAATTGCAGCCAAACCCAAAGAAGTTTAATATGCTTTCCCTTTAATTAAAATAAAATAATTACATTGGTAATTTATACAATATTTATTCAAAATTTTCACCAATTAAATGTTGATAGGGCGATTCAGAAATCCATTTCGCTAGTCATGGAACTGGAGCGAGGTGGTTATTATAATGAATATTAACGTTTAAATCAAGGCCAGTGTTATTTGATCTCCCATACTAATAGTACTGGTGTATTTGTATCATGGCTCTTCATATTAAAACCCGTGCGAGAATCGACCTCGTGACCTCTAGTGGTATGGGCCAAGTCTAAATTCTGTACTAACCACATGTACATGTATACATATAATAAAACTGTAGAGGTCGAATATCTGTACATAGAGAAAAAATGATAAAACAGTGTCAGTGAGATGTAAGAAGAGAAATAGAACAAATGCAGATTTTTTCAAATTTTTGTTTCTCTGTTTGTACGGGTTAATCTCCGAAACTGTTGGACCGATTTAATAGAAATTTTGCATGGTGGTACCTTGTATCCATATGGTCAACATCTAAGATACTTTTCATCCCGGAAAATTCAATAGTTCCTGTGGCATAGTTAGAAACTATAGTAACTTATACAGCTTAGTACACACCTTAGCCACCTAATTTAGTAAAATTTGACATGCTGATACCTTATATAGCCGGTCAAACATCAGGTTACTTTTTATCCCGGAAAAATGAATGATTCCCGTGGGATAGATCTGTTTATGCTTTTCTAGAGGCGAACTCAAGCGAAGGGAGGGTGACCCGCTAGTGTACAATAATAATAACTAGCTATTGGTAGAAGAAGAAAAATCTATACAATAAAAGTGTAACTGATCGCTGTCTGTACATGGAAGGTATTTGAGAAAAACTATTATAAGGGGTCTTTGATAACGCAATAGAACCCAAAACAATGATTTTTAGAATTTTTGTCTGTTTGTCTATGCGTATGTGCGCGCTAATCTTAGAAACTGGATTTACCGATTTGGATATGGTTTTCATTAATTTACTGTGGTAAGTTTCACTTAACAATTAACATTTATTATTTGTTTTATTTCAATCGGTTCGTAAATAAAAAAGTCTGTCTTTCTAGTGTCTACCCCACAAATAAACAGCCAGTTTATTTGTGCCAAATATCGCTTTGTTCGACCGCACCTTTGCAGTAAAGCCTACGCTTGACACGTTTACTTACTCATATAAAAGAGATAAAGGCTTTTTGTTTACTTTGGTACTTCCGAATTTACATATCAATCACTTTGTTGTTGGTACATTAACACACAACACCATCTAGTTCCATGGAAAGCCTTGTGTTATGGATACCAGACAGTTGATACACTACACATATATAACTTTAAATACATACATATTATAAATATGAACACCCATGACTGGAGTACAAACATTCGTGCTCATCACACAAATGAATGCCCCCAGCGGGACTCGAACCCGCGACCGCTGGCACAGCAAGTAAGGTCATTACAAACTAAGCCAAACGTGTCGTCAAATATATATAGACATGAATTTCTCTTTGTTCTTCATGAGATCCAATGTTCAGAGTAATAAATAATAATAAATAGTAATTCTGCGAAAATCCCATAAATAGGAGGACAAAATCATGGGAAAGCTATAAGTTAGGGTAAAATATAAATAAACAGAACATCACCTACGCAGAACACACTGCCTTCTGAGACATGTAAGCGGAAACACTATCATATTCTGAGCACGCTTATAAAACGTTCGGACTTGGGGATTTTTAGAAATATTAGTCATGCGAGAAGATTGTAATCTATATGTATACTAATATATAAAGCTGTTTTTGTTTGTTTGAGAGCGCTAAAATCTGGAACCAGTCTGATTTGAATAATTCTATTTGCATTTTTTAGCCTACTACCGTTAGGGATTCTGAATGTCGACAACAGCGCCACTTACCGCGTCTAACTATAGCTAAGAACAAGTCCAGAGATCCCATAAATTATAAATATAAGACAAAAACATCATCAAATCATCAAAAAAACCAAATCGGTCAAACCGTTTAGGAGGAATTTTATATGTGAAGAACATTTATTGAAGAACTTTATAGGACAAGGATTTTCCTAAAAATATCTAATGTACAGATTCGGCTTAGTTACAATTTTATTATATGTATAGATAACATCACGTTACAACCCGCCATACTACTGGAGATTGAATGTAAACTTTGATAAAAAAATATAGACAAATGTAATAATGATAATACAAAAACATCATCAAAATCGGTCAAGCCGTTTAGGAGGAATTTTATATGTGAAGAAGATTTATTGAGGAATGTTATACGCCATAACATCACGTTACAGCCCGCCATGCTACTGGGGATTGAATGGCTGGCTATATTATATGGATCAACAGCGCTTCTCGGAAACAGGTTTACATTTTACACGTCTTCTAAAACTAGTTTAGTTGAGAGTTCTCAGACATAGGTGTTTCCTCACAATATTTTCTTACGTAGCAAAGACGAAGATGTTCAAAATGAGATTCTAACATGAAAATTTTATAGAAGCAAAAAAAAGTGGATTTGAACACGATTTAACCTATTTAAAAAGAAGCGTATGCGCGCCTAATAGTCTAGACTGCAGCATTAAAATAGATCACTAGAATGAAAAAATAAAGTTTTATGTTTGTTTATTTATTTATTTTATTTATTTATATCTTTTTGGGAAACAAACAGTGAGATAATTCTTAAAAATAATTACAAACTAAAACACCCACACACCAGCTAAGTTTCCATCTATAAATATGTCACAGATAGAGTAAACATGATAATTAGTTTATTTATTTATTTATTAAATATAAACATTAAAACCATAAAATAAAAAACTTAACAAAAGCTACTGCAAAATAAAAACACTATAAAGTGTTAAAACATCCTTCTAATTATGAAGAAAAATGTATGTGTAGAACCTATGGAGGAACAAAACGCAAGCAAGTCGACAAGAGTTTGTCACCAATATTCCCTATCTTTTAAATTGAACTATCTTTTCGGATTATTTCGCGGATTTATTTGGATTTTTGGTTCCCGACGTTTCGAATGCTTTACAGCAATCATGGTCACGGGAGAGACACACACACAGTTTTAGACATCTCAAAGGCGTTATATATGTATAGTTGTTACAGACAGTCTGTAAGTTGGGAACCAAAAATAAAGATATTTTCATTTAGAATGAAAAGATAGTTTCATTTAAAATATCAAATATTCGCGTAAATCTAAGAAAGTATTATTCCTTACCTTATATGTTCCGGACAATAGAAAATGGCATCTTGAACCGTAACTCTCGGGAACGTGTGTGAAAGCTATCACTGTATCTTTGGTGAAGCCTTCTCCGAACATTCTTAACATGAAGACGGTATTTCTTAAAACACTTGGGATCATCTCATCCACAATTCTGGGTTCTTTTTCTGATTCTTCTATTCTCAAACCGAGAAGTTTTACTTTGGAACCTGGTGTGAATGTAGGGTTGGCTTCAGCTGGTACGATTGGTTCAGGGTTGGTAACGTTGGGCTCACTGGTCGCTTCACTCGCCTCAATAGCTGGCTGTTCAGCTTGACGCTTTATTCGGAGGGATTTTTCGTCAGGGTTTTGATATGCAAATGTTTCAGTCATGAAATCCGCTATTTGGTCCCCATATTTATTGACATCTAAGTCTCTATAATAATTTTTAACGTCTTCATCTTCTAGATCTGTTAGCTCATCTTGCGGCGTTTCTTCGATTTCATTTTCTGATGGTCTGTAAAAGAGAATATAATCAAACACTTTGTAAACGGAACATAAAAAATGTATATATAAAATATATAATAAATATTTGAACTTTTGATACATTAAAGTAAGGACATATCGGGTTTACAAAAGGAATTTACGCTAAAAGTAATTATTTCAGGATTCAACGATGTTAATTAAAATTATTGTGTAAAAAAAATTCTTATTACATATCTATCTTATTTATATACTTTAGATTCCCCTCACATATACATTAAAAATTGATTTTAAAAAGTTCTTAAGCCTCCGTAGACACGTCTTTGACTCCACGCCATACTTTAGACTGCTTCTGTCTATTGTAAAACTATACCAAGTATTTAGATAATTAATATAATTATTTTTTTTAATAAAAAACGTACTATGACTTAAAAATCTATACATATAATAAAACTCTAACTGAGTCGAGTCTGTACATTAAACATATTTTTAGGTAAGTAAATCTTATTATGGATACAGAGGCCGAATCTATAGTTTAAAAAAAAAATTGTCTCTCTCTGGGAACGCATCACGAGAAACCCACTGGACAGATGTTGATGAAATTTGGTATTATGATAGCTGGTTATCCGGATCAACATAAAGGATACTTTTTACCCCGGAAAAATATCTCATCTCTGAGAAATCTATACTAAGCGTACTAAAATCATCTAAGTATAATCATTTGCTGATCTGCATCCTTTCGTAATCTCTATATAGAAATAGGCAAAGGCTAAACAGTTCAGAGCCTTTTCCTCTTTTTTTTGGTCAACAGTTTTTTTTTATTGATAAGTTTAAATGTTATAAAATAAAAATATGATCGAATTTCGACTCCTGGACAAACACTAATATTATGAATAAATCAATATGAACTAGTTAAGAAATTTCGCAGCACACATCAAACACTTAACCTAAAATAATAAACTTCATTCGTATTGATAGTACAATTGACACAGTTCGTGTATCGCTCGAGTTATCATCTAACGATTTGTAAATATGTAATTGGTAAGTTATGTATCATACTACATATATACTACATACTATGTATGTCTATACTAATATATCAAATTAAAAAGATTGTGCCTGTACTTTTTTTATCTGTTAGAACGAGTTAATTTCTGGAATTACCAGCAAGACGGATTATCCATAAGGCAGTGTAGCCAACTGCTTAGGGGCCCCGCATCGGCTAGAGTCCCCCCGCAGCGAGAAAAAAAATTCAAAATGTTTCATTCAATGAAAAGTTAATTTAAAAAAAAAAATAGGTCTAATTCCACCATCAGGACAAATATATCAGTTAGATTTCCATGAAATCTACCTAATAGCGTAATTACGAGTATCATTCCATTGTGGTAGAAAAAATGTATTTCAATTAGTTAGAAAAGGGTGAAGGGGCCCCGAGCATTGAATTGCCTAGGGGTGCCCAACATGGTTAATTCGGCCCTGATTTTCAGTCAGATTTAGGGTCGATCCACACTATAATGCCAACACATTCCTTTCTCGGCCGGATATCGGTTTGGTAAAGTATTCTTATGTAACATAAAACGTTGCTGAAGTGTGAATTCGATTCGAGTCAGAACTTGACGCTTACTGATAGTGTGAAATGTGAATGCACTCATTGTTTCTTATATAAAAATACTTTACCAGACCGCGAACGAACCGTGATCGGCACTAGTGTGAATTGATCCTGAAACCTTTTCTAATTTAAAGCTTACTAGTGTACCCAATAAACTACAGTCGTTGTCTTGCCTCCAAACCTCTTTTTGGTCAGAAAATTAAAAAGTAATCTGGAACTCGCTAAAAACTGTCCAGGTGGTCCCATAAGTACACAAAAAAATTCTTCAAAATCGATCAAGCCAATTATGAGGAGAAGAATTACGAAAACATTCGATTTTTTTATAAAAAGATATATTAAGGTAGATTATAGGTTACTAAATTATAATGTCACACCATGTTTGTAAGGAGCACTTCCCAGGTAAAAGCATGTGTCTGATGAAGTAAGTTTTAAAAGCACCGTTTAAGGAAAAATGTATATTGTACATACATACATATATGTATTAATATCTATACTAATATTATAAAGAGGAAAGATTTTTTTTGTTTGTTTGTACCGAATGAACTGCGAAACTACTTAACCGATTTAAATGAAATTTTGTAAGATGATATTTGAGACCCTGGGAAGGACATAGGATAGTTTTTATCCCGGAAATCATCTGTTTAGGGGGTGAAAATTGGGATGTAACTTTGTATGGGGAAACAACCTAGGGACGAACCCGAGCGAAGCGAGGTTGAGTTGCTAATTCTTATATATAAACAACGAATATTCTCAAGCGATTTTTGGTTAAAGATTAATATTGTAATACATACAATATCTACCGAACCCGTTATATTTTGCTCATGAATTGTTCGAGTACCTTAAACGTCATTTCGCATGATCATTTACCGACTTGAAAATTTTAGTTTACAGGCACATATTGTTGATATGAAACTCAACGATTGTGACTTTCGGAGGTACGCGATAGCAAAACAAATCACCTTATATAAGCGAAAAAATAAAAATAATCTCAGCAGGTTTTTTTACTGAAAGTAAAAGAAGATTCTTTGTGTGACGGCGAAATAGAACGGTGACTTTCAACATGGCTGACGAGCGACAGATGAAGCTGGCAATATAGATAAGATATGCCACTACAACTTTATGATCCATATTATTATACCTAAATAGTATTGTAATGGTATTATGCTGGATTATACCATAAAATCCTTCACGTACAAATACTAAGTAAAGCAGCCGGTTTCTCTCGATTTTGAATCTTTGTTATAAAGAAGACCTTAACATCCCAAATGAGATTTATATTTTGCTTTCCGTTTGTGTATCTATATTACTACTGGACAATTTTTATCTTAAACTAGCAGAGCCTGCGGCTTCGCTCGCGCAAAAACAACAAATAAAATCTCTAAAAAGGTAGGTTTCATACAAACTTTCATCCCCTACCCTCTTAGGGGTGGAATTTTGATTAGCGCTGAAATATATAACTCATTATTTTTGCCATAATCAATTCATACGAAATTTCACGCAAATATGTCTAAGAAATAAAATGTTTCATACAAACTTTTATCCACTATTTCACCCCCTTAAGGGATGATTTTCGGGATAAAAAGTATCCTACGTCCTTCCCAGGGTCTCAAACTATCTTCTTACCAAATTTCATCTAAATCGGTTCAGTAGATCCAGAGATTACCCCCGACAATATCACAAACTTTACCTCTTTATAATATTAGTATAGATATGTAATCATGTAGTAAAATGTTACATGTAATCTTATACAATTTGGGCATTCCAGTCCAAGCCCATATTTTCGTTATAGTTCTTTATGAGAAGGTCATAGATTAATAAGTAAATGGAAGTTTAGTCATTGCGTGACTAAAAATCATTTAGACGCTGACCCGATTTCGTTGATAAATTGTGGTAAACTCGGACGACAGATTTTTTAAATAATTATTTTTCCTTAGTTTATTAATATTAATATTTTAAGCCCAAAGGCATAGTTTAGAATATAACCCACAAAGCGCGAATGTTTACTGATTATGTTCTAAACATAATATATTCTAGAGACCTAAATACCTCGGTGGTGTAGTGGCTAGCATGTACGGCTGCACATACGGAGGTCCTGCGTTCGAGTCCCGGGACAGGCCAAGTTTAGTAACTATTGAGTCTTTTTGTTTAGTAAGCCTCAGTCGGGTTGTTACTGAGGCTTGGGAGGATGGCGGTGTTTCACCCCCGTGCCTCGGAGAGCACGTAAAGCCGTCGGTCCTGCGCCTTAACTCTCACTGGTCGTGCCTCGTGTCGTCCCACCGGGGTAGGAGAGTGACAGGAATAGAGAGTGCACGTTGTGTCTGCGCATACACTTGTGCACTATAATATCTCCTGCGCAGTTGGCTAGTCTCAATGAGATTGGCCGCCGTGGTCAGAATCGGTCGGGAGGACATTATTATTATTACCTACTTTAAAGATGTGTAGACTGTCATATATACATATTCAGTATTTTCTGCGTGTTTTTTATCTATATTGTTATTCGGCCAAATATTCGGTTAATTTGCGGAATAATTATCGAATATTTGAATAGTATTATTTTAAGATTAATATACACTAGAAAGCTATTTTATTTAGACGGTAAGGTGTTATTTAGCAAAAACATACTAAACGTTTTCATTTGACAACAAAATAACAGATTAATCTAGTTTTGTCGGGCCGCAGGCGAACCAATTTAATGTGGATTAAATTTTATTAGCCAAACATTGAATGACGCGAGTTTGGAGCGGTTCTTTTAATAGATTGTTTCGTGTTCAGCCCATTTTTTCATTTAACGTTCCACTTCCGAGTAACGAACGCGGACCTCTCTTTAATGGGAGGGGGACCAAGCCATTTTTTTAACGTTGGGAAATGCATTTACGCACGAGGTGAGGGACTCACCGGCAAAGCCATTACTACCTACTAAAACCTAACAAAGCTTTCCCCCGTCTTAATGGGGCGTCGCAGGATCGCTAACGCATTCAACTACGACGCCCCGACGGCAGATCCGCCGAAGCAGACCACAACAACCACGGGGCTGCTCCAAGGTCCACTCTGCTATCAGAGAAGTACCAGGAGCAACCCGCATGGTACACCGCCCACCGAAGGGGGCCGACTCCCACCGCCCACCGAAGTGGGCCACCTCCCTATGCGTTTCTTGGCTTCGCGCCCGGCTGTATTGCCGGGCACTACTGAGCTCCCCCAACACGACAAGGTGAACGCACGTTGGGGGGAGGGGGACCAAGCCATAGTCCAATTGTTTACAAGTTTGAAATAATTTGTGAATGAAAAATAGGTACATTTCGGCGATTCATTTTTATTTATATGTATATAGAGAAGAGAAGATAGTGCTCTCTGATTTACGAAATCTTATATGAATATATGTGATGTAGGGTTATTTTGAGGTGGAAAAAGTTAAAACATTCTATATA